GAATCAGAAAGTGGTTCTGAAAAAGACACAGGCCAATTTCAAGGCGTTTAGAAGAGGAAGTGATGAGAAGATAACAAGACATAAAAACAGCATTTTAATAACAGCTAAAGGTGACATAGATACTTTATTATGGTATAGTATTTAAATATATGCCTGAGAAACACATAATATTGGCCCTTTAAGCTTCCTGTCTAGATAGACACCCACGATATTAACTGATTCTGACAGGGAGAAGTTCTACACCCTCCAACTTAGGAGGTGAGTAACACTTCCTTGACTTCTTATGAGTGTCATGAACCAATTCTTCTTATTTGAATTGACAAAAACTTCCTGCTATAGACTTAGACTGCTGGAGCACAAACTGACCACATGTCCTCACTCTGCTGTTGTCTTTAGTCTCTCTCCTCTACATGTTTGTTGTAATTATTTCTATAAATAACATGTTTTTTTTGTCTCTCTTCCAGAGGAAAATACACCTGAATTCTTCTGTGCTTGTCTGTGTCTCTTTCCTGTCCCCAAACCCAGCCAGTTGAAGTAGCCTGCCCTGAGCCTGGTTCTGCTGGAGGTTTCTTCCTGATTAGCAGGGAGTTTTTCCTCTCCACCGTTTGCTCAGGATGGGAGACTGTGATGAAGTGATTCAACACAATCTGCTGCTTTCTTTAGATTGATTGTTTGTTGTAGAGACCTGATATGTTTGTTGTGCTGTATAAATAAATTGAATAGAATTTAAATTATACAAACGATTCAGACGTGTTAGATTGAAGAGATGAGGAGGAAAACGCTGAGTCAGCAGCTGGTACCTTTCATTGATGCTTTCAGCTCTCAGGGTGTAAACCCTGTCGATGTGAGAGATGTGGAACAGTGGCTCGTCTCCTGAGGGGTCCGTCGGCAGCTTCACCAACACTTCATTCAGGAAGATGGGCTGAAACCCAGCAGAGGTTCTGATTAGACCCACCGTACGTTCCTCTGTTCAACCTACAGTCTGCGTCAGACTGAACTCAGCAGGAAGAATCCAGCTGTCAGAAAGGCTAAAACAACATGTTTGATTGTACAGAACCACAGAGCTGTTAGTGTCCCGCACCGTTTTGTACATGCGATACTGGAGGTGGGTTTTTGAGGAGAAGACTTTGTCTGACCCTGAAGATCCCAGAGGTTTGGTGACCTGAACAGTAAACACAAGAGAAACGTTAAAACCACCTGTAAACCCTGTGTCACATTCAAACTCTAACTAAAGCTCTGGAGATGAGCCATTAGGAAACATCAGATTAAATAAATAATCCAGGAAAGACAGACTCATTTTTACAGCTGTTTATAAACCAGGATCATTACAGAACATTTCAAACTAAAGGCCCGAGTCCTTGAAGGAATGAACATCAGACACTGATTATGATGAGAAGGGACAGGATGATAGTTGTTTTAGTCAAATCTCTACAAGTCTGCAGCGAGCCTGAAAACCAACACTGTCTCTCAGTGAAAATGTGTGGAGCGTTATGAAGAGCCCCTCAGCAGCTGAAGCTGTTCATCAAGAAAGAGTGAAAGAATTCATCTCCAGCTTCAACAGTTACTGTCCTCAGTTCATAAACACTTACTGTGTTGTTCAAAGGAAACATGATCCTGTCCCAGATTCATTAGAACATTTCAAAATCAAATTCAATATGAGTGAACAGGTGAAAAAACACTATAAAACTGATCAGTTTAACATTAAATATCTTGTTTTTGTAGTGAATTTACAAATCATCATATTCTTTTTTATTTGTTTTCAAGGAGGTTCTATAGAGCAGTGGTTCCCAAACTTTTTATCTTCTGACCCACAAAATATCCATGGCAAAAACTTGTGACCCCAAATATTACTGGTC